GGGCATTCTCGACCACCGAGGAGGGGAAGTTACGGTCCTTGAAAAAGAAACGTCAGCCTCTCTGCTCCTATGATGCTGCTTGGCCTGCTGTGTTCATCCAGCCCTGCACCTTGTTGTCTCTAAAGAATACAAGTCCGGTTTGCCCAATCTTTCTTTACAGGGCCTTCCTGGGATTGTAGGAACAAGTCTGGTGAACTTTTGTCCCTCTATGTCAACAGTATCCTTTCAAAGATAAAGGGGCAGCAAAACTGCAAGTACGTGAGGTGCTGTCTAACCAAGGTTCTATACAATAGGGGACTTCACTGTGCCTGTACTCAAATTCTCTTGCAACAAAGGCCAGCACATCATTTATCTTCCTAATTGCTTGCTGTACCTACAAGTCAATCCTTCATGGCTGATTGAAGACGACACCCAGGATCCCTTGTACATTTCTAATCTCTTACCATTCGAGAAATACTCCGCACATCTGACCGTCCTACTGAGTTGGATAAACTCACATTATATTCAATTTGTCATGTTCCTGCTTAAACATTGAGCCTATCCAAATCATCATCTTCAAAACAGATACTGCCCCTAGCTCTGTGTCAAAAATGACCAGAAATATTACATTTGGTCCCCAACTCTAAATCATTGATATATACTGTACTATATAGAGTTGCACCACCCACCCAAACCTTGCAATGTCCCACTTGGAAGTCTCAGCCTGCTAAAACAAAAATGAGGCATGGCTTAAATGGAAGGATGAGGGTAACAAAACTTAGTATATATTTTTAGTATCTTAATGAACAGCAGTGGTTTGTCAAAATGAGAAAATGGTGAATATAAATTTATAAAATGGAAAGACTGTAAAATGATCATTCTGGTCACTGAGTCCGACTTGAGAGTTGATAAAAATCGGATCGATCTTCATAGGCAAAAAAAATGCATAGGTGAAATGGGAAAATGGGCAGAACTGATGTAATTTAATGTGGATAAATAGGAGGCAATGTCTCAAGAAGGGGTAAAAGTAAAAAAAAAGGATTTCAGGTACTAGTGGATAGTTGCACTGTACAACAGAAATAAAGTTAACAAATCTTTTAATGCGCAATGTTAAGCAATGGAACAACATTAAACACAGTGGCTTAGTGGTCAGCACTTCTGCCCCACAGCACCAGGGACGATTCCAGCTTCGAGTGACTGTATGTCGAGTTTACTCATTCTCCCAGTGTCTGTGTGGGTTTTACTCCGGGTGCTCTGCTTTCCTCCCACAGTCCAAAGATGTGCAGGTTAGGTGGACTGGCCATGCTAAATTGCCCATAGTGTCCAAGGATGTACAGGCTAGATGGATAATCCATAGGAAATGCAGAGTACAAGAACAGGGTAGGGAGCTGAGTCTGGTTGGGGTGCTCTTTGGAGGGTCAGTGCAAACTCGATGGGTCAAATGGCCTCTATCTGCACTGTAGGTATTCTGATTCAACATAGCAGGCTGGAAGCAGACTGTTCAGTCTAACCAGTCCATGCCGAACATTATCCCAAACTGAACTAGTCCCACATTGCTCCAATCACAACTTCCTCAGGAAGTTCATTACACATGCAAACCACCCGCTGCATTAAAAAAAAGAATTGCCTCATGTCCTTTTAAAATCTCCCACCTCTCATCTTAAAAACGTGTCCCCTAATTTTGAAATCCCCATCTTAGGGACTATTAACTCTATCTATACCTCTCATTTTATAAACTTCTAAGGGCACCTCTCAACCTCCATACGCCAGTGAAACAAAGTCCCAGCCTATGGAGCCTTTCTTTATAACTCAGACCTTCCATACCCAGCACTATCCTGGTAAATCTCTTCTAAGCCCTCTCCAGCTTAATAACATCCTTCCTATAACTGGGCAACCAGAACTGGACACAATATTCCAGAAAAGGCCTCGCCAATGTCCTGTACAACCTCAGCAAGACATCCCAACTTCTACTCAAAAGGACTGAGCAATGAAGGCAAGCATGCCAAATACCCTTTTAACCACCCTATCTATATGTAATGCAAACTTCAAAGAATTATGCATTTGAACCTCTTGGTCCATCTGTTCTACAACACTACCCAAGGCCCTACCCTTAATTGTATATAACCTTACCCTCATTTGTTGTACCAAAATGCAATATCTTACATTTATCCAGATTGAATTCCATCTGCCATTTTTCAGCCCATTGACCCATTTGATCAAGATCCTTCTGTAATCTTAGAAAACCTTCTGCACTGTCGAATAGGCCACCAACTTTGGTGGTGTTTGCAAACTTACTAACCATGCTTTCCACATTCACATCCAAATCATTTATATAAAAGACAAACAATTTAGGATCTGGAACTATTCCCTATGTAACACCGCTGGTGACAGGCCTCCAGGCTGAAAAGCACCCTCCACCACCAGTCTGTCTCCTGCTGTTAAGCCAATTATGTATGCAATGGCGAATCCCATGTGACCTAACTTTGCTAATTAGTCTACCATGCAGAATCTTGTCGAAGGCTTTGCTAAAGTCCAAATAAACAACGTCTACTGCTCTGCTCTTAATCTTTTTGGTAACTTCCTCAAAAATCTTAATCAAGTTTGGGAGAGACAGTTTTCCTCGCACAAAACCATGCTAATTAATTTTTGCTTCTCTAAATGTCCATAAATCCTATCTTTTATAATCACCTCCAACAATTTACCCACAACCAAAGTAGGACTCCCAGGTCTACAGCTCCTCGGTTTCTCCTTATAACCTTTCTTAAACGAAGGTACAACATTAGCCACCCCCAGGTCATCAGGCACTTCACCCGTAGTTACAGATAATGCAAATATTTCTGCAAGGGATCTCGCAATTTCCTCCCTTATGTATACGTGGATTGTAGATTGTCATTGTTTTTGCACACCCAACCTGTAACCCTTTCAACTGCAAAGTAGTTATGGAGAATGGCAATTGGTAATTAGTTATGCGACCTCCAGGATGATGATTTTTTTTAAAAACAATTGCAAGAAGAAGGAATATCTTATTAAACAAAATTCTAAATTGATATAAACCAAACTCAGTAAACTATGCACAACATTCTATTAAATTTTAACTGCGGCCACAGACACAAAGTATTACAGTAAATAGGAAGTTTAAATTTGATTACTTCAGAGACTGGTGAATATACAGACAGTGAAAAGAAACATTTGGAAGCAAATACTATCCCCAAATTCAAGAGGAAAACATAGATGTCTTTGCAATATTATTCTCTAAAGAAAGCTGCACGCTCTCTTGTAAACTGCATTCACAGAAACACTGATGGAGATATTTTGTCTCATTTGTTGCCTGTGGGGTTGGGGAGGGTGAACATAACCAAACGAACCAACATTTAGTATCTTCAGCAGTATCCATTGAAAAGGAAGAGTTGTTAGAGCCATGATGATACATAATTTTGAGTTGGGAGAAGAGGAGACAGGGTTTTTCATCTTTATGTGAATAATGTTATTTTTCAGCAGGAATTGACAATATGAATCAACACAAGTTTTCAAGGAGAATGTGGCTTCAGGCAAAATATATTTGGGTCATAAGGTTTTGAATTAGATGTCTGGAGCCAGTGTTATACTTACATCGTTCAGAATTACAGCAGAGAAATGTGGGCACAGAACAGAAACAGAGATCTGGAAAGTTCCACAAAGAGATTATTGGAAACAATCCCACACCAATGCACTCACAATGGTATCTCGTATGCTTTCCTGCGTAGACTGCATCTGCTCATGCTGTTGTTTCAACTCTTCAATCTGCTGCAGAGTGAAGAATGGACGGCGTCTGCGTGGTGGCTCTTCAGGATGGATCTTTGCCCAGTCTTCATAATACTCCTGATGGCGGCACTGAACATGCAGTCGCAAGTTCTTTTTGTGTTTGGTGTTAAAATGGCAGAGGTCACAAGAGAATGGCTTCTCACCTATGAGAACGTACATTTAATACTGTAATTCCTTCCCAAAGAAGAAAATTATTCAGATTGTTAAACCAACTCTATTCCAAATGGTAGAAAATATACCAGTCAAAATAATGTTCAGGAATGTGATTTGTTGATAAGACTATAATCCCATTAATAATAATAATAAACTGCAAATCCCATTAAGCTACACACAGCAGTAACTGCACAGGACATAAAAGGTTATTACAGCATAGTCTTTTCAATTTAAAGACTTGCGTTTGAGTGCATAATTTACAATTTATTGCTAATCTTATACCAACCACCCATTTGACTAATCCATATACAAATCAGAAAACTTCACATCACCTTTTCCAATTCGATCTGGCCTCCATTACTGCTATACCATATCAAAATGCTCCTTTCAATTTTTAAATATTTACTCAGTAACTAGGGTGATTTTTAACCATTTCTCATTACAGTCAAAGTATCCATTTTCATATCAGGTAAATCTTTTACAATTAAGTAATGTAAAACTATTTTTCATAACCACAGCAAACACTCAAATTTGCCAAAAAACAGCCAATTGGCAAGCAGTTAAGGTGCAACAACTCTATATATTTAAATTTTCAAGTTAGATTGTACACTATTCAAGATTGACCACTTTAAAAAAAGTTAGCAAATACATACAGCTCTCAGCTGCAATAACCTTGTAGACTCAATCATCTCTAAGTGGAAAATACCTTATTAAAACACAGACTTAACATAAACTATGAAAGCTTTTTTCAGTTCAGTGGCCATTTGTCTTATTTATAGTTTGGGCAAAGAACATAAAATTTGATAAATTTTCCAAAGCAAAAACACACTAAGCAGTGGGGGACAGCATTATGATATTAACACCATTCAAATACCACTAAACAGGATATTGTTCAGATAATTAGCTCTTTACTGCATGAATTACATAAAATACAAGAGACTTGTCTTATCAGATATACACATTTTCTCACACAGTACTTAGACTGTGCAGAAACAGTTCCCTTCAAAACTGAAAACGGTTTACATTTTCTGGTGTGTGGAAATGAGAGATGTTATATTTTATTCTGCAGAAGCCTCAGAGGATGATGAAATTAAATATACACAACTCTAGTAGAGCAATGTACTATCCCTGCATAATAAAGGGAGATGGTATTTAATCAACCTATGGCAATATTTTTAAATACACAAAACATTTAAAGCCCTTCAATGGAATTCTGTAATTGAAGGCAACAAATATTTAAAAACCAATCAAGAAACCCTCTCTCTCACCTCACCTGTGTGTTTAATGGCAACATGAGAAACCAGAAAGTCTTCTTTGATAGTGGAGTACTTGCAAAAATCACATTTAAATGGTTTATCTGTGGTATGCGACAGCTGGTGGTTAAGGAGGAGCTTCTTGTTTTCACAGACATAGTCACAGAATTCACATTTAAATCTGTAAAGCAAAACAAAGGTTAGATCCAGGAAAGCACTGATCATTGTCTAACCAGAGTACACCTACTGGGCTGAATTTTTAAAATATACTTTCAAGGGCACAGGAACTGCTAGCTGGGTCAACATTTATAGCCTATCATGAATTACCTGGAGAAGGCAGTGGTGGGTTGACATATTGAACTGCAAAGTGTATTGAAGTGTAAGGATGCCGACAATGCTCTTTGGGAAGAAGCTCCATAATTCAGACCCAGTGATAGTGAAGGAATGGCAAATAGTTTCCCTGGCAAGCAAACTTGCAGGTTTTGGTGTTCCCATTTATCTGCTGCCTTTGTCATTCTAGGTGGTACAGGTCTGAGCTTGGAGGGTGCTGTCGAGGCATTTTGGCAAGTGAATGCAGTTAATTAGGATGGTATACACTACTGTCAATGTTCTTAGATGGTAAAGGCAATGCAATGGAATGCCAAGTACCAATCAAGTAGGCTGCTTTGTCCTGGATGATATCAAGCTTCTTAAGTATTGCATCAGCTGCATTGTTCCAGGTAGTTGGGAAAAAAAAACTTCTGAAAGGCAAACTCTGTTGAATATATTTCCATGATTCAGACTTGAAATGGAGGGGGCATGATTTGGAAGTGTGTAAAGGATAGAGTAAATGTTTGTGTGGTTGATAAGGAGGGAGACAGCTCTAGTCTGGAATGCAAGACAACATTCATGGACTGGTCAGGTAGCCAGGAAAATGGTAAATGGAATCCAAATTGGAGAAGTACCAGATAATGGACTTGGGAAGCTCAAACTATGCAATAAATGGTACAAACAAAATGAAGGACTGTGCTGTTGGCAAATCCAGAAAAATCAGCTCAGTGAAAAACGTGCTTCAGGCAGCATAAAGGATACTATGTTTCATTAACTGATGCATTGAATACTAGAGTAGTTATTCGATAACCGTAATAAAGTAAAACGAGACTGCAATAGAGTAACTTGTACAGTTTTGATCAGCACATTTAAAGGAAGCATGTGATTTCCATAAATTGGGGATCTCAATTGCAATGTAATATTTAATAATATCATAGGGTTGTTTATTGAGATGTATAAAATTACAAAAAGCCAAAACAGAAATAGCTAGGAAGGACCTATTTCCCATGCAGAAAGGTGTAAAATCAAGAGCCAAAGATTTAAAACAAATGATTGCAGGATTAGAGAGAAGCAGAAGAGTACATTTATGGAGGGAAAAATCGGTAAGTTGTAAGAGTCTACAGCTCTTCAGTCTACCTGAAAGGGGTGGCAGAGGTAGAAACTATCACTGCATTCAAAACATATTTAAACATACACTTGGAAGTGTTCTAACCTATAGGGCAATGGACAGAGAGCCAAGAGTGGGAAGAGGTGAAATAGTTTTTTAAAGTTGGAAAGGACACAATGCACTGAAGGCCCTCCACATGTGCTATAAATCTCTACGATTTCAATGTGCAGTTTCTCACGCCCATAAACTTAATTCTTCTGCAAAATAACAAAAAAGTGCTGGAGATTATTCAGTACTTAAATTAAACATTGCCATGATTTCCAACAGATGAATTTCAACAAGAGTCTCAGACAATGGTGCCAAGCAATAGATCAACTCTTCAATCTGTAAGGAACCAACAGGGGGAGCCTCAATCCAGTTTTTAGCAGGCGAGTTCACAGAGCAAAAAAACTGTCTCCAATTCAGCAATAAATTGGCAAAGTGACTCACCTCACTGAGAACCAGTGAGGCAAAAAGAAAATAATGCCTTTCTGGTGCAGGAGGAGGGTCTAGCGGATCTTTTTTGTGGTTGGAGCGAGATACAATATTAGGGTAGTGGCAAGAGCGTTACCCTACATCTTTCCTAATTTTCATTCAGGTCTAGATTTCAGCCTAGTGAGTTCAGCATCCAAAGGAAGTTTAAGCAAAGACTACACATTTGCTTAAGCAATAATTTTGTAAACAGTAAACCACAGTGATTTCCAACATATGAAGTATATATTTCAAGGAGTAAAAACAATGACACAGGAGCCCAGTGAACAAAATTTAGGCAGTGCAGTCACTCCATCTACTGGCAGAAATATTAACTGACACTGGCATTATTATCTCAAGACTTCAAATTTTCTTTAATCTCATTTCTTCTGCCACCTCCTGCTCACTAATGCTATTTCCTATTTATCTTTTAACTCAAGTCTTTCTTTACAATTCTGACTTTAAATGTTTAGCACCCAATGCCCTTCACATTTGCACTCACCTTCTCATGCTTCTAGACTTCAGTGGCAAAGTCAAAGTTCCAATAGCTCTCTATAAGCTTCCATGCTACGTACTGCTATAATAATCCCTTATGCTCTTCTCTACTTTTACTATTTCCCTTTGCTCATTTAGTTTGCTTTCCCTCATTTATTCTTGTCTGTATTTTTGCACACCCAGTACTTTCCCCTCTATTTCTTGAAGTTGAGAGGAAACTGCAAGAATGCATTGGCTGTTTGGGGATTCCAGGAGGAACTGACCAAATTCAAGACCACTCACAGAGCAGAAAAGGATCAGACTAGGATCACTGATACAGCAGAGAGACTATGCTCCAACTGGCTTTACCACCCTAGGGTTGGGCGGAAAAAACAACATGCAGAGCTCCCATCCCTAACCCAACAAACATGCAAGTCTCATTTTTGGATATCAGGCAAGTCCTGGCCGATTCTTCGCTGTACTACACACCAGTGGCTTTGCATCACAAAAACTCTCAACCTAGACATGCAAATATAATTGGGAACTACACAAAATATGGTTGGAGATTAAAACATTACATCACAACAGCTCAAGCCACATCTGAATCTGCTCCTGAATAGAAGCCATTTCCTCAAATGCACCATGAAGCACCCGTTACAATGCAACTGTAGAAATCAGGCCTACCTGCTGTTTCCAAGAGCCTGAATGTGGGTTAGTAGATGCATTTTGAATGTGTACCTCTTCTTAAACGATTTCCCACACTAAAAAAAAAGTTAGTTATGAAAACTGGTTGCATGAAATATATTTACATTCCCTTGATACAGAAAAGTTGCATTTCCACTGGTGGATGGGGATGCAGAACAAGGATGTGCTATTCTCAAAATGGCCTGAACACAAGTGATGTCAGAAAGCCATACTTCAAAGAGAAGGAATGTTCTCTGCATCCCAATAGATAGGTAATTAAAACAGATTGATTGGTTTCTGTTGATAAAAATATTCAGGGTTAGAGAACTAGATGGAAAACAAGATATAGATCAATTGCATTGTCACTGAATGGTGGAACAGGATCAATAGATTGAATAGCCTACTCCTGTCCCAATAATAAAATGCAAAGCTTTAATGAATCATCAACTACAAATCAAGTTACCATGTCAAAGATACAAGATATCAGAACCGCCCTTTGTCCATTAGGTGGTATAACGATTCTGGATATTGTATGTGGGAGAAAGTTTAAGAGTAAATTTTTAATGTTTTGAGAAGTTAAAAATCTGCATGTGCAGTAACCCACAAGAGTAAGAAATATTCTAACCTTATCACACATGTGAGGCTTTTCAGCACTGTGTGTCTTTAAGTGCTGTGTTAGCCTTTTCTGCATGGGATAGACTCGGTAGCACACAGGACAGGGGTAGGAGTTCACCTTGGGCACCTGTGGGGAATAATCAAGACAAGAATTCAAGCTAATAAAATGAGAAAGACCATGAGAGTTTGTTAACAATTGATTTTACTATCCTTATCATAAAAAAATTAAAATGCCTGCAAATCCATCATGAAAGCACTGGATGAATGCATTGGATCAGTCAGTACCTGTAATTTATTAAAGAGGTTGGTTCTTTTTAAAGGCACAACTGTACAGATAAAGATCAACAAATCTTCTTTCTTTAGAAATGCTAATGAACCCGGTCCTTAATGCCAGCAATGTTCTGATATTGTTGATTTCTTAAAAAGGCAGGTAAAGCTGCTTTTGTTACCACAAATGGATATACAGGTACAACACTGGTGATCGATTAGTTATTCTACAGGAATTTAGGCTTAAAAACCCAAAACGTTAGTCAATTACTCAGTAAAACCTATGAAAATAACAGAATCTAACAGCATTTTCTAGATGGTTCATATTGCAGTCTCCAGATTTGATCTGTAGACAGCAGGAACAACAAGTCTTTCCGAAATAAAAACAAAATGCAAAATAAATAGCTCTGTTGTATGCATGAGAAAGGCACTCAGCCATTTTAGTCAGTCACAGGGTTCCATGCTGTATGACTCTTCAGTCCAACCAGTCCATACTGACCCTGCTCCAAAACTAAACAAATCCCACCTGCCTGCACTTGGCCCAAAGTCTTCTAAACCTTTCCTGTTTATGAACTTATCCAAACATCTTTTAAAATGTTGTAACTGTACCTGCATCCACCGCTGTCAGTTCATTCCACACACAAATCACTGTGTAACAAATGTTGCCCCTCATGCCCTTATTAAAGTAAAAATATGCCCCCTACTTTTGAACTCCCCAACCTTAGGGAAAAGACCCTGGTCATTCATCTTATCTGTGCCTCTCATGATTTTATAAACCTCTATAAAAGGTCACTCCTCAACCTATGCACTAGTGAAAGAAGTCCCAGCCTTTCCAGTCTATTTTTAGTTTAGCTGCCCAAAAAGAGATTTGATTGCCTCCACCCTAATTGGGAGCCTCCAATTAAAAACAGTGCTCTCAGGATTTAAACTTTACTCAGTAACCCATTCCATGTTTTAACTATTGTGGAAAAAACACGACTTGTTTATTTAATTTGAACTTTTTCCTCTTATCCAATGCAAGAACTACTTCCCTGTGTGCTATCTTGTGCAATCATCCCCTCAGAGATTTATTGCTGTTATTTTAATCAACCAGCTCAGACGTGTTACGAAATACCTCTTCGGCAGGTGGAACTTGAACCCAGACCTTCTCGCTCGGACTACCATTGCACCACAAGACCCTTCTTATTGGAGTTTAAATTCTCACAGCTGCCATGGTGGGATCTGATCTACATCCTCAAGGTATTAGTCTGGGCCTCTGGATTTCTAGTCCAATGATTTTACCACAACGTCACCATCCCCCAGCTTAACTAAAAGGAGGAGGAGGAAAGAATGAACGCAGTAGACTAATCAGCCAGTGTTCTGGTAGCACAATGTTGAACCAGCCACTTCAATTTCTTTCAACTCTACAGAATGTTTTCCAATGAAAAAAAGCGTTCTTATCTTTCCAATAAGGTTACAGATAAGAATGGTCAAAAATATTCCATATTAGCAATGGCTAAATAACAAACAGAAATCAGAGCAACTGAGGACTATCTTGCCATATTACTGCCTATAACAAGGTTGCAGCCAATAACCTGAGGGCTTTGCTGTCACACAGTGCATGCGCAAACGGTTTCAGAATTAGAGGCATTTTCACTTTGGTAATTCCTAAAACAAGGTAAGGGTTTAAGTTTATTTGAGATGAAATTTTTATTGAAATGAGGCATGCTCATTTCTGGGAATTTGTAAGTTTGTTCTATTCTCAGCCAATACTGGGACATTAAAACACACTGCACCATGTAATTGACGCCCATTTCCCAATCTGGCTATCATTAGGATCAGAGTGTTCATTCCTGCAGACATGAGGTTGATTGTGTTGTGGACTCGCATTCACTGGAGATCAAAACTACCTAAATTAGTACACCAATTGGATTTGATCCGCAGCCAGAGCTGAAGGACTATAAATCCTCTGACACCCAACCCCGTGTCTCTTTACTCTTAGATCAAGCGAACAACAAACATTTCAGCCTTTACCAATGTCTCTGTGAACCAACTAGCAGAAGGTACAAGTATGACCCAAGATACAAATTTAGTGATAGTACTAAATTGAGATCATGGCAAATTGTGACAAGGACAATGAAAGATTTTTTTTAAAAAAGCAAAATAGAATGGGCAGGAAATAGAAATTGAAGCACAATGTGACGATACATTTTGGAAGGAAAGCACATCTTAAATAGTAAAAGTCTAATCCACTGTAGGTCAGAAAAAAAAAAATGTTGAATGCAATTTTTGAATCTAGAAGCATTAGATCACAATTGGAAACATACGTGTAGCTTTTGGAACCTTCTCATTTTAGGAAGGATATAAAGCAATACAAATTCAATAGGTTGTTAAGGCTTTGTGGGGGGAGTGGTTACACTCACGGAAAAAACTAGAAGTTATTTCCCACCCCCAGCTGTAACTGAATCTCACCTCAAGCTTCTCAAAGGCATTTAAGCTTGAGATAACATGAATTCTGAAAGACTGTCGTCACTGACTGGTAACGTGCTAACAAGGGCACAGTTTAAAGATGTTCACAAGAAGAATACAAGGTAATTCTACATTCTTTAAATGTTAACTCTCCCCGAAAAGTATACTAAAAAAGAAATATTAAATAGTACAGTAAGCAAGACAGCAAAATCAGATAAAGGTGATGTACTTGGAGGAAAAAAAAATACAGATTTGATGGTTTGAATGGCCTGTTTCTACAGTGCAGTACTCCATTTTTCTACTAGAGGGGAAAGAAGAAATGGTTTCCTCACGCACTCTTTCAGAGCAGGATGACTGGGTGGTAAAATCAAGAAGTGGCAGTGCAAAGTGCATTTCTCAAAACCGCAAGGTTCAGAAAGTGGTTACACCCATGTGCTGAATCACAGCACAAGTCCAGAGTTCTCAAAAATACATAAGCACTTTCAACATTTAACCGTTTTAGCAGTAAGCTTGCAATGTGTGTAAAAAACACATTTCAAACGACAAACAACAACGATGGCTAGGCATACATCATATCTTACACTTTTGAGATCCTCCAAAGCATCTCACAGGAATTTGGCACTGAGCCATAAGTAGAGATTAGAACGTGACCAAATGGACAATTGGACAGCATAGTACACAGGAATAGTACATAGTACACTGTCATTTCTTTGGGGCAATTGGTCACATAATTTTCACAACTTTCAAGGTACCTACTGCCAGCCGCTGCACACCTGACACTATTTTTCCTTGTATTTGACGTTGAGGCAAAGTATTTCCCATTACAGAATCAGATTTCCTGGGATCACCAAACATTGTTTTTTCAATCAAGTCAAGGAAGTGAACAGGTAAAAGAATGGATGAAGCTGCAAGCTCTTTGATACAGTTGCTATTTTCACTAATGGGACCACAGATGTAGTCAACCTTTGATTAGGCTGGTTACATATGCAGAAGATGCACTATTTACAATCAATAACTCAAATTTTAGACACTTCCAATTTTGCTGATGATCCAAAGCTATGAGGGATAGCTAGCTGTGAGGAAAATGCAGAAGCACATTGATTGGGAAAGTGAATGGGCAACAAGTTAGCAGTTGGAGCATGATGTGGGGATGTGTAAAATTATCTAGTTTAGTTGGAACAATAGAAGAGTAAGAATTCTTTCCTAAAAAGATGTGGAGGTGCTGGTGTTGGACTGGGGTGGACAAAGTCAGAAGTCACACAACACCAGGTTACAGTCCAAGAGATTTATTTGAAATCACAAGCTTTTAGAGCGCTGTTCCTTCGGCGGGTGCTCCAAATACCTGAAGAAAGAACAATGCTCTGAAAACTTGCGATTTCAAATAAACCCGCTGGACTCTAATCTGGTGTCATGTGACTTCTGACTTTCAAAAATGATGACAGACCTAGTAAAACGTTCAGACGGATTTGGATACCCTTGAACGAGACATGAAGTTAGCATAGAGGGTAGAATGAGTAATTAGAAAGGCAAATGGTAGGTTAGCCTTTATTACAAAAGGGATTGCAAAGCAAGGATAGGAAGTTATACAGGTAACATACAGAGCTTTGATAAGACCAGACCTGCAAACAGACTTGGTGAGTTAACTTGAAGAAGGAGGACACTGTGCTTTGGAAGAGGTTGAGGCAGACTAGGTTGATTCCTGAGATTCGGAATGGGCCCGTATGCTACTGAGTTTAGAGAAAGCAAGGGCTCTCACATCAAAATACAGAACATTTCACAGGCTTGACATATAATTACTGAAAAGATGTTTGTCCCAGCTGAAGAGTCTGGAGCTCAGGACCACAATCAGTTTGAGGTCAGCCTTTTAGGATAAGGCAATGGGGAACCTTCAGACACCTGTGAATCCTTGAAATTTTCCAGCCCAGAAAGATGCAAATGCTTAATTCTTCAATATATTCAAAGATAAGATTAGTAAGATCTTTAGACATTAGAAGATTCTTATAATGAAAGCAGGTGGGAAGAGTGTAGGCAGTGATATTCAGAGAGATTATCATTTAATGGAGGAGCAGACTCAAAGCATTCTAATGGTATACTGTTGCTCCCATTTCTTTGGTTCTATGTACTAAACCAATCTTTTGAGCAGCTTTGGCAACAGGTGGTAATTCTTTATAACTAAATTTGGAGACAGAATATACAAATAACAGTGAAATGAAGTCTGAAAGTCGAAGCCAAAGGTTGTTCAATGAGTGGAGAAAGTATTTGGATAGTTGGATTCAAAGGATAAACAAATAAAGATGCCAATTAATGACATTTTGGTTGAGTTCTTTGAGGAAATAAATATTCTTTGATCTTGATATACAAAGAACATACTGTTTTAGTTGTGCACTGGAGTATTTACTCCCAAAGCCTAATTACTATGCAGTCATTTGACTATCAAGATGACAGCCTTTCAATAGGCATGATGGGAGAAATGGCTTCCATGTGAGCTATATCATTCTATAATAATCTACAATTACCCAGATATCAGGGCAATTGTTTTGCATCTAGAAGGGATCCTACAGCTCAAATTTAGGAAGTAAAATGTTATTAACTTTTTAAAATGCAACAACTGTTTAAAAAAATTAAAGTGGCCTTTTTTTTTTACATCCAGCTTGCAGCTGTGCTATTTAAGTACAGAAAAGTCAAGGAAATCAGTCACAGGTCACATTTTGCTTATGACAATAGTTAAAAAGAAATCTGAAAAATCAAAATGTGATATTCAAAATTGTAAACCACTGATGATTAGAACGCAGCTCAGAATTCACAAGTAACAACCACATTTTGTCAAATCTTGATTGGTACCAGTCATAATCAAGTTTCTTCTTTATCTTCCTTAGTTTTCAGAAGTACACCTGAAATATTACACTTACTCCCATATTAGACAAGAAAAGAAGCCAAGATATCAGAGTACACACCTGTACAATATTTTTAACTCATCATCTGA